TAGTATGAGATGACGGTAAAAAGAATTATAATGTTATTATATGTCAAATAAATTTTATTTAAAATCATAAAATTAAATGAAAATAAATATTTTTGTAGTTAAAAGTATGAATAAAAAAAATATATTTCCTGAAACTAAGAGTTTCCTTTAAATTATTAAGTTAGTTTATCACTTAATTCGAACTTTGATACATTGTCTTAAATTAAATCCCGCAACCACAGACTATGTGGATTAGTTGGTATGAATTTGCTTTAAATCTTTTCTAATTATGGTAATCTTATCAAACTCAAATAAAATTATTTTTCATAAAATTTACATTTAATTTGTACCAAAAAAAACTTCACAAAAATTATATCAAATAAAATTATTTCATAAAATGATTTATGCTTTTGTTAGATATTGTTTTACTTATTCCACGGGAAAAAGCAACTGCTTTATGCTCATTTGTTTTAAATCACCCAAAATGATATTTTTCAAAGAATGAAGAGAAGTGATCTGAATTGAAATTTCCCTGCAAAAGAAGTCAAGGAAACATAATGCATATATGGCCAATATATAGTTGATAAGAGCATACATGTGGATTAGGGCATGCCAGGCTTATAAATATTTTTGCATACAAATATATTTTGCATAGCTTTTTGGAGATTGAAAATAGATATTTTTATTATCAATGACTTTAAAGCTAAAGCGCCATGGACCAAGTGTGAAAAGGCACTATGTATGAAGCTAGCGTGGCCACGTATATTGCACATCTTAAAAGTTGAAGAAAAAAAATGTCTGAGAACATTATTCATGCACAATCCAACTGTGTGACACCTATTTATATAATTCTCTTTGGCTCAGATTTATTGGAGGAGATTATGTTTCAGGTTCCATGCACATTCTCTTGTACTCAAATATGCAAACCTCTTTCACTTCCTTATCTTATCCCTTTATTCCCTTATTATTAAAGGAGTGTTCATATTGGGGGCATCCCATTGGAGAGTACATGATGGAATTACACTTTGGGCTAAGGTTTTAGCACAGTTCAGGTTTTTGGAGTCCCACCCTGTCCCTTAATTCATTAGCAAGGTTTTAATTTGTAGGGCCATGAAATGGACCTTTGTGTGGGACTTGAAGCCCTTGATGGGCCTAAAACAAGTAGAATTCATATAATCTTGTTGGATCACTGTTACAAGTCTTAAAAAGCCTTGATAACATCTGAACCGGGACTTTCACTGGGTCTACAATAAATCTCAAACCCATCAAGAACTCACCCTCTTCAATGATGATTTATGATATCCAATGTCGTTTTGGTGAAAAGGTCACATATTTGGTACTTTGAATTTGAAAGATGTTGTTATATTAATCATCGAAACTACGAAATTGTTAAATAAGTCTCCAGAAGTACAAATTGACAATTACATTAGTCAAAAACTAAAAATAATATGTGACCATTCTTTAGTTTCAGGACTAATAACGAATTCTTTGACCAAAATGGATGTTTACTCTATAGTGAAACATAGCAGATAGCATTAAAAGATGAGACTCTTGGGGGAACCATGTCCATTAAAGATCACTTTAGGAATGCATGGTGTGTATTAAAAGAAAGCAACCAAACATGTGTATCTTCCAAGATTGTAGAAATATTTTTCTGTTCAAGATGAGGATGAAGATGATACTAATAGAGAGTGGCAACATCACCACACACCCCTTACTATGGCCACTGGCGTTGGATTTGATCCCTTTGCCTTGATTAGGCCACACATGTGGTCATTGTCCAATTAGGTTCACGTTTTATATTTGACGTAGGCCACTCATCATAGAACTCAGATATGAAGCACAGGATATAAATCAAGTTCGTTAATTGAACATCTATCATGTATGGTTTCTCCCTATGTGTTTTGTGGCCTTGCATTGATCTTCTCCAATAATAGAGTAACAAAATCTGCGTACTATAATAATTAATAGCCTTGGCCTCATGTTTTTGAAGCTTAAAGCAAAGAAAATAACCCAACACATTCCAAAATGTCCGCAACAAGGGCCATTCAACTCACACAATTTTGGGTAGATGTTAAATTTTATAGCTTTCCATGCTTTAGTTTGGTGTCCTTTCTATGAGTCTTGTTCTCCGGGGCTGGCCCTAATGACCAAATCTGAAGCATACTAGCCAAGGATGGTGATAGTTACTTATCTTGATCCATCAAAATCTAGTGCTTGCAACCACTGATTTCTAATCAGCCTTAGCATGATTTTGTTTAACAGAAAGTGTATATATGTAACAAAAATGTGTTTCTTACTGCAAAACTAGTGGTCAGCACCAACAAGTCATCAAGTAATAATGGATTCATTTTTTTCAAATAAGATTTTAAATTCAAATCTTGTAAATGAAAAAAGAATTTTATTAGAATGAAAAACTTTAGTAAAAATGATTAATCAGATTTTTTGATAAAAGATTAGTTATTGACAAAGTTGAAAAATACTTCATATCAATGTTTTAAATTGAGGACCGCATCACGTATTGCGGTCGCAATATTGCGGTCGCAATATTGCGGTTGCGGCCTTATCTGCAACAGCATCAGACCGCAATTGCAGTGAGACCGAAAATCACACATTTTTCTGCAACGTAACGGTATTGCGTCCGCAACACATTTACAATGCACCGCAATACATCTGCAATACGACAAATTGATACTATAATTTTAAAATAAATTAAATTATTCATTAAAATAATAGAATATTTAAAAAAAAAGATATAAATCCTTAAAAATAAAATATATATTGATAATTATAAATTTTTTATATTTAGTAAAAATAATTAATAATTTCACACCGCAATGGCCGTAATCCGCATTGCAATACCTGTAATCGCGACCGCAACCGTAATTTAAAACCATGCTTCATACCAATAATATGATTATAAAAATAATAAAAAAATAAAAAAATAAACTAGTGGTCAGCAAGGACTCTGGCTTAACAAGTGGCAGCTTCAGTTTTCCATATCTTGATGCTGATATTGTCAAGTGGAAAATGAATAAATAAATGAAATTACTTTTGTAGGTACCTGCACAATTGTGGTAGCTACACAAGAAGGGGGCCCTTAGAATGCCATGTTGATAATTAAGTAGAAAAAATTGACTAGACTTGATGATCTTAATGGAACTCTCACGGTCATTTCCCTCGAGTGGCCATGACTAAGTGAACGTTTATACGTACAACAATATTTGGTAGTCCATATATGGCTTTAATGCATATCCTTTGGTGTGTCTCTTTTGGTTCGTATTTTACACGTACTCATGTGATCGTGCCCACACACAAGTACTGTTTTCGCCACTATACTCCGACACTCAGAAATGGGCATTGGGTTTTGATGGGCCTAATTGATCAATTGACTAACACCAGTATCTAGAAAGAAAACTAAAGTTGATTATACTAAGTTAACATGCATGTGTGTGTAGTTCTTAAAGTTCTTTCTTTACAATGGAAAAGGCCTCTCCACTATTTATTATTCTTTTCTCATTTGGTGGGACTTCTTGATATATCACCTTCCATATGATACGATATCATGAAAATTAGGTAGAATTTCAAGTGTTATTTACATCACAAGATTGGTTTTATGTCAAATAACATATTGTTCACAACACCAAAAATGATTTTTTGTGATAATTTTTATGTTATTTAACGATCATACAAATGGTCATTAATATCTTTACCAGCAATTAGATTATGGTTATTGTATTTGGGGTCGGTAAAACTATTAGTGGTAATTCAATTCCTTCATTTCTGAAACCGGTGTATTTGCTTCAGGTTCTTCTTCAGTTATTGTTGCTTGTGGCTTATCAAATGTTGCACACTTAAATGCATACTTATTAATAAAACCTTCAGGATCATTTCTGAAACAATTTTAAAGTACAAATGATGTGAAAAGTACTTACGGCCAACTAATTCGAGAGCAAAGCAAACATCAAGTTGTAAAGGAACACAAATCCAACCAATGCCCCAAAGCCTAACCAATACCAATATGAATATGTGAAGTATGAACGAAAAAAATAAACCCTAAAATTGAAATTAAAGAGACGCAACCATTGAAGGTATGTGGAAGAGATAGGAGAAGCCATGACTGAAGCTTGAAACAACGCAAGAGTGAGATGGTGAGAAGCAAGAGGGAGACGGTGAGAAGTGAGGCAAAGGGAAAAATGGAAAATGCGTTATGCACCGAGAGTGTGAGAAATTTTGTAAATAAAAAAGTTTAAATAAAAATTAATATTAACGGTAATTTTTAAAAATTTTCATTATAAATAAAGTTTTACCGGCTAATTTTTTTGGCCACTAAAAACTTTAATTAATAATGATATGCAGACAATTGTCTTATTGTCACTAAATAATAGTCGTTAATGTTTTGGGCTATTAGCCCCTTTATTCACCAAAAAAAAAAAAAAAAAAAAAAGAATAGTCGTTAATGATACTTTTTGTTGTAGTGTGTTCTTTAATTAGATTTAAAATTTCACCTTAATAATATGTATTTATATTTAATTTAGATATTATATTTATACATATTATTGAAATGAAACTAATTTTAAATGAAAAACAATCCTAACGGTACACGTGATTCTGCACTTAAATTTTCTCATAATATTTTACCTATTGATGCTAGTGCTACCATAGATCATCTAATTTAACCTACCAGTGGTTGGAAATTGAAATATTACCCACCAATGGACTAGACTAGATTTAATTACCTTGATGAAAAAGTCCTTGTGATGAAAACAACTAAAAGAGGAGGCAGTGTGATATTAATGGGCCATAGTAAATCTATCCTAGTCAAAAGAAATTACTTACCAAGCAATAACTTTAAATTTTGTTATAGAATATGGAGAGACTTTGAAGCCCTCAAAATGATGGTGGGATCCCTATCATAATTATTGCCCATTTGAATGTATAATGAGCAAAGAAGGTATTAGATTGTGTTATATATGCACATGGTCATGTCCATTGCCATTGGATATATATCCATATTCCATAGCCAACAACCACTTAACACCCCAACTCCCACTCAAACCCTTAGAAGCACATAGAATCCAAGGAAACATAGCTCTTTGCTCCCCACAAACCCTAACAAAAACCTCTGGTTTTAACAGCATGAGGAGGATAAAAAGCACTGTTCCCCACTCATACCCCAATCCCATCTTTATTGCCAATGCACATATTCACATCATGTGGACCTCACACAAAACCCTCCAAAACTCCCTCATCATATAAAATCATGTCTAGACTTATTGATTATCCTAAACTGACCCTCCCACTATGCTCTCAACTCAATCATTCCATCCAAACCCTTTGATCTCTTTGCAATAATATAGCCACCCCTTGTTTTCACATATTACTCCACAGGCTCCAAAACTTGCACCATGTCCATAGCAGGCCTCATAGACACAGAAATGAATCACAACAAGTCCTTCCACCGCAGAAACGATTCTGGTGAGCTTGATGTGTTTGAAGCAGCAAGGTACTTCTCAGGGTACAGTGAAGTTGTTGGCTACACCGGCTCCACCACCTTCACTCAGAAGCTCATGAGAGAAGAGAGACATGCACATAGAGGAAGAATAAGCTTGGACATGCCAATGAGAAGCTTGCTCCCTCAGCAGTTCCATGGCATGGAGAAGCAAATCATCATGAAGGAGAAGAAGCACAAGCAACCTAGCTCTCCAGGTGGCAGGCTTGCAAGCTTCTTGAACTCTCTCTTCAGCCAATCAGCATCCAAGAAGAAGAAGTCAAAGTCAAGCTCACAGTCCATGAAGGATGAGGATGAGAGCCCTGGAGGGAGGAGAAGGAGGAGGAGCAGCATTAGCCACTTCAGAAGCTCAAGCACTGCAGATTCTAAGTCCTTGTACTCTTCCTTAAGTTCAGGGTTTAGAACCCCTCCTTATGTACAAACACCAACCAAGAGCTGCAAGGAGTTCAGAACCTTCTCAGATCACAAGCATGCACCAAAGTGTTGTAATTATTATAATGGACACGTGAGATCAACCACCTCTTTGCAAAATGAGTTGTTGTGGGATGAGAAGAGAAAGAGGGAACCAACACCAACAACACCACCACCACCAACAACAACAACTTTGTTGGATGATAACCACAAACACACCAATGGCTTATCAGAGAAACAAAGGAACAAGGGAAGTCATGAGGAGAGAGATAGGATGATGTTAGTGGAAAAGTACTCATCAGAGGAGAAGGAAACCACTGAAATCAACAAGTTCAATGAGGTTGTTGTTGATGATGGTGCAGAAAGTGATTCAAGCTCTGATCTGTTTGAGTTGCAAAACTATGACTTGGGATACTATTCAAGTGGTCTACCTGTCTATGAAACCACAAACATGGATAGCATCAAGAGAGGAGCAACAATTTCCAATGGCCCTCTGTGATGGATGGATTAATTGGTGTATAATATTTTTCTTCCCTCTTAATTGGTTCATGTTGAACTAGCATGTTAGAAGCTATGAAAAGGAAAATTCTCTTGGATTTTGCCTGTTTCCCATTGGGTTTCATTTCATCTTCTTTCAATACTTTTTTTTTTCCTTTCTCTGTGTGTACAGATTGGAATGTTGGCTTGTCTTATCTGATTTTATCTACTGTCCTTTGCTTTTGGAACTTTGTTAGAGTGCAAAAACACAAAACAAAAGTTAATGTCCTCCACTAGTGGCTTCATCAGAATTTTGCCGTGATTTTAGGTTTAGCGTGTAATCAAGAGCATAGTTACTGGTTTAAATCAAGATTCATGTCATGTACGTGCCCCCTTTACCAAATTCATCATCTTAGGATCTGATTCTTCTAAAGTAGTAATGTTGCAGTGAATATATAAATTATTAATACGAAGGTTAATGATTGATATTAAGTGTACTTGCATAGTTTATTATGAATGTGTTTTAATATTATCCAAGTAGTATTTCCATTATGTACGTGCTGAATTTTTATTTAAAACAAAATCTTGTAATAATAGTGTTAAGAGTAATGAAGTATGTACCTATATCATTTGAAAGCAAGTACTCATACATGTACCACGTTGATCAAGAGTTTTTATGTTGGCTGCAATAATCAACCTTATTGACCTTTGACATGGAACAATCATACTAAAAATTAACCTTCCAAGGAATCTTGCTGCATGCCTTAATTTGATTTGCATGTTCAAACCTTTTTCATTTTTTATTGGGAAATGATACTAAAACATAAATAAATGGGTGAAATATATCTGTGTCAAGTCTTGCATGTACGGTTCATTTAAATATATCTCATTTATATGTATACATGATCCATTTAAGTGACGAGTCAAAGATTTTTTTAAGTCATAGTTTGATTTCATCTTACAGTTTAATTCTATATCTTATAATATTTTCTTGCCAATCCTCTTATTATTTTATGAAATAGAATTAAATAAAAACAAAATATCTAGCGTATGCTGAAATTTTTTTTATATATAAACTAAAATTTATTTACACGTAAGTTAATTTGTTGAAGTTTTGTCTTGTTGGTTTTTTAAAAACTTTTTTTTAACTTCTTGTGAAAAAAAAGCTTTTTTAATTTATGTATAAATTAGTTTTATTTTATTAAAAAGTAATTATTTTTTTTTCTTTTCTTATTTAAATGTTTTATGAAAAAGTTTATTTAATTATATTTTTAAATATTTTAAAAACATAAAAAGTATATGATAATTTTGTAAGATTAATAGGAAAATATTGGGAGAGGATTTGGAAATATTCTTTATTTTATGAGATGTTTTTTTAAAGGAAGGATGGGATTGATTTTTGTAATTTAAAAGTCGCACGGGGGAATCTTAGTAACATAGGCAGAGACAATATGGATGTTAAATTATTTCTTTGTCACATTGAGGTGTTCATGCAATGGAAGGTGGTTGATTAACTTGAAAAGTGAGCAAATAATGGAGATCTAGTAATAATCTCTTATTTCTTTAAACTAAAATATTGATGAAGTGACATAATTAGTATTACATGTTAAGCTGTGTTCCGCTAATGGTGGATCAATTGATAACCCTGAAAAAAAAACAAACACAAGAACTAGTTATTGTTCCGTACAATTAATACTTGGTTTTTACAGTTTCCATCAATCTTAGCTTGCTAATTCAATAATTAGGACCTTGATATGCGTAACGAAATATGTGTCCAATCAAATGATCGAACATTGAAAGCCATGGAAATCATATTAATCTAATATATTTTCATGGTGTTGGAGACAGAGTCAGGACAAACATCAAAATTTACCATGCAAAATATCACGCACATCTTTCTAGGCTAAAAATAAGTTGCAAGAGAGAGAAATCTTTTGAAATGAGAAACGAAAATGAGTTCACACTTGCTGAATTTCCTAACCAATTTTCTCATGGTGAGTTGGTGACCAATTACTGGTTTTTCATCTTCAGCTAGAGCAGACTCATAACTTATCTATACTTCACTTATAATACCTTGTTATTATAAAAAAAAAAAAAACTTAATTAAGTGTTTACTCAATGAACTCTTAGATGTTATTACTATATATAAATTTGTTTAATTTTTTTAAATATGTTAAAATAAACTTGTTTTGATTGTGTTGTTTCTAGGGTGAACCTGAATATCTCATAATTTAGAATCAAATAATAATATTTTGAAGTACTAAAATTCATTTAAGAAATAAGAATTTTGATTTTTTAACATGTGTTTCTATATACACATACAACTGGAGCATTACTTAATTGAGAGATAGAGACTAATTCTTAACACTATGCTTGGATCAGATGAAAGAAATAGTGATAAAGGAAAATACTATATTATATATATATATATATATATATATATTTATTTATTTATTGATATTGTTGAAGAGAAAGTGAAAGAAAAATTGAGAAGAAAGTTGACTTTTAGAGACAAAAATTTAAAATTTATTTTTCTTCCACTTTCCTTTCAATTTGAAATTCAATTTTTTTTTTCCTTTTCTCTTATTTTTCATCCACCCAACCAAACATAGGGTAAAAATAGTAAAATCCATTTAAGAGGTCAATATTTTTCAACAGATTTTTTTTATGTACACATACTTAAGGATCAAATCTTGACTACCTATTTAAAGGATATGGTTATTTGTTAATGTCTATAACACCATATTGATACTTATTTTATTAAGTAATATTTGTTGTTATTCTTTGATTGATAGTTATAAAAATGTCATTCCTTATCTATTATTTTACTCATAAAAAAATATTACAGAGCTTATTGAAATGAACGATTCCATAAATTATATACTTTCATAAGCTTGATAATATCTTCCAATCATCACTTCTTATATTGATTTACTTTAAATAAATAAATAAAAATGATCAATGCATAACCAAAATGTGATGAATTTGATTTTTTTTCAACATTAAAAATCAATTAGATTTGGATAGATACAAGTAACTGAGTTGCTTGCAAAACGAGAGTGTAGGGATACAATTGAATTTGTGGGAGGGTTGGGTGAAGGTATGATCTAGCAATAGCATTCTCTTTAATATATGGTTTACAGGTGGAGGCTATCAAGGAGTTAAATGATGGACTAATTGGATAGCCTTTTGAAATAATGATGCAAACAAATGATGCATGGGGAACCAAATGGGTCAGTGTAGGGCCCAAACTTTGTTATAATTCAAGTTCAATTGTGATTATAAAGTTTACTATGTAACATATAATAAGGTTAAGATATAAATAAACTCTCATATTATTAAAATAAAAAAGATATAAATTTATTATAAAAAAAACACATATTATTAAAATAATTTTTTTAAAATGATAATTAAAAATAATTTTATAAAAATTTAATTTTAAAATAGATAATATTATAGTAATATAAAAACTTGTATAAATAAACTATAAATACTAAGATATTGGCATGTGGGGGATATATAGAGAAAGTGAGAGAACACATGCTCATCTTTTTATCGAATATCTTCCTTTTTCTTTTTCTTTTTTGTTTTTTAGTAAAAAGGTTAAACTAATGAATGCAAATAAAAAGAAAATGAAGGCACAAATCACTTCATTAAATGTTTGTTTGCGACATATGTCTTCTTCATCTCCTTTAAATTTAATTGTTTCCTAGTCAGTGACGGATCCATAAATTTTAGATAGTGGGGTAAAAATTATTTATATATTTATAGTACTAAAAATTTTACATGTAATTTTTTAAAGTATAAATATATATTATAATTATTTTTTACAAACTTTTATATCTATACTTATTATTAATGATGAAAATAAGTTAGGTCAGACTATGTTATATTATAATTTAATAGGTTTGAACTTAACTTTATTTAAAATACATGTCTTAAATATAACTTATTTATCTATCATAGACATTTTTTAAATGTTTGATTAGAACTACAATCTTAAAAATATACTTTATAATAATTTAATACTAATAAAAACAAAAAATATTAAATTGTATAAAAATCAAGTTTAATTTATTTATAATATAAATATATTTTTAATATCTAATATAATATTTTAGATGATAACTTATTTCAAAATATATTTTATAATAAAAATTTTAAATAGAATATAAATGTTCCAAAATCTTTCCCATTTTGATTTTTTAATCAAAGTATACAATCTTACAATCTTTACTATTTTAATTTTTTTAATCAATGTATACATAAATAAAAGTACAAAAGGTAAATATATATGCTACAAATTTTATTTTATCAAAAATTAAACTTTTTTTAAAAATTAATTCGTTATTAAAGAATATTCTTTATCACATATAAGAACTAATCTCCTTCGAAAGTTTGATAAATATCAAATAAATGAACAAATCTTTTAAATTTATATTTTATACATATGATAATTTAAATATATATATTTATTTTGTTATAATATAACTTTTATTTTTAAAAATATATTATTTTTTATATAAAAAATATGTGTGTCAAATGGTATGCCCCACCCTCTCCTACATGAGTCCGTCCCTGTTCGTAGTGATCTTTTCATGATGCTGGATTTATAAAGAATCATTGTGCTTATTTTTCATTATTTGTACCCTAGAAGGTCATGATTAATTTATCTTTCCATAAAATTCATTTACTTCTATTTGATTAAGCCCTATATCATTTTTAACCCTTTTCATTCTTGGTGAACATAGAATATTACCGATTAATAATATAAATATTTTGCGAATACGATAGATAAATAGAAAATAGAAAGCGTGTTAGAAGTGATCAGTGATTGAAACAGATCAAAAGAACAAAGGTGCCAACCTATCTTAAACAAAAAAGTGTTTAAGATTACAAATTAAACAATAAAATAAACGCGAATATGGTATAGTTTTTAATGTATTTCTTCATTTTGTCAAATTTATTACTTTAATAGGTTTTTTTTTTCAGATCACATGTACTTTATATAAAATATAATCTTATCCAAACAACAATTTACTAGGATTAGTTATTTTAATTGAGGAATGTAGATTTTGGAGGAAAAAGATAAAAAAAAAATTTGAAGGAGTAGAGAAAAAAAATTAAAACTTTTGCAGAGAGAAATATTTTTTTTTTGTAAAAAGTAATGAAAAAATATATAATTAGTTTTTGGTGAAAAAATGAAAAAAAAAATATTTATGTTGATAAATTTAAATTTGAGTATTTTTTAATAAGTTCTTACACAAATTAAATAATAAATTATACTAATAATTTGTCAAAATAAACTCAAAGTATCTTATAGTTTACTTATAATATGTTTTATAATTTATTTAAACACTCTTATAAACATTAATAGAATAAAATAAATATAAATAAATAGTTAATAAACTCTTCCAAACGAGATCTAAATGAACCATGTCCCATAGGCTACTGGTTGGGAACTTAAAATCCCAAGACAGATTTTAATTGATTTTTTTATAAAAGCCATGCGTGGTGGTGCTGGTGCATGACATGTTGATCCGAAACCACAAACTTTGCTTTTGGGAACAAAGTGGAAATGAATTCATTAAAGGCGAAGATGAACTTAATTGCCACATAGGCTTTTGGCATTAGGCTGTTTTGACTTTTAGACCCACTACCATATTCCAAACCTTATCTTAATATTCTCTCTCTCTCTCTCTCTCTCTCTATCTCTCTCTCTCTCTCTATATATATATATATATTTTGTTGTTGTTTTTGGTCCACATATTTTTATGGTGATTTAATTTAAAATTCTGGGCCTTTGAACAAAAAGGGTTACCTGATTTCCATCAGTAGGTCTGAAAAAGCCCATTACTTTTGAAGCTCATAATATATACATTTTTTAAAAAAATAAAAAAATAGGCCTCCTTATTATTTTTAAAAAATTATTAAAGTATTTTTCTAGTTAATTTTCTGTATTAAATAAATTTTATTTTAAAATTATTTTTTATTTATCCATATCCCTAATTTCTCTTTTTTCTTATTTTATTTTATATAATTCATCTCTCTAATCACTTTTTTCTTTTTTCTTTTTGGTTTTTAATTTTTCTCTCTAACAATCAAGACAATCATACCTAATTTTTTTCTTTCTAAATTCTATTTCTTTTAACTTTATCATTCTTTAAACTTCGAATTTGTTATTCTATCTTCATCCTTTTTTACATTTTCATTTATAATTTTTTAATTTATTTAATGACTTATACACGATAGATAATTTGACACCAATGACAACCCTAAATATGGGTTGGAAGGGCAAATGTCTAGAGCTGCAATAGGACACTAAGAAAAATAGGGGTTAATAGCGGGTTCAGGTGAAAAATATTCAACTCGTTGTAAACCGATTTTGGAAAAATGTGACCTATATCTGACTGACTAAGCTTTCGATTTGAGGCGGTTCGGGTTGAAACAGATTTAGATTTGAGCGGGTGGGTACAATCGGGTTTGAGGTTTTTTGTAGACTAAGTTATCTTAACGAATGTGAAGCTTAAAACGGTAAAAATATATTTTTAAAATAGTTTACAATAATAGAATGAAGGTAACAATAGATGATGTAAGTAGATTCATAGATGAAACATTCACAAACTAAAGAAGCAAAAATAAAAGATAACAAAATCCATAGTTGTTACATGCAAAAAAAATCTAAAGTTAGATTACAAAATCCATAAGAAACCACAGCCGCACAAGTTGTACTCAAAATGGAGATAGGAAGATGGAAAAGAAAGACAAAGAAAGAAACAAAAAGAAAACTCTAAAAATGGACTAGTGTGTTGAAAAGTTGAATGAGGAAGGAGAAGACCAAATAAATATCTAGGTTATAAGAAAAAGGAAAAAAATAAGTTACAAAATATTATACTTGAAATAAAGACTTTTGAGTTTGGACCATTATTATTTAGTTATACAAAAGTAATAAAAATCTAAACTTATCTCATTTTCGGTTGGGGTCAATTTTTAGCGGGTTTAAAAATTCAAAACCGAACCCACCCAATATAACTCGTATAAAATCAATTTTTTAACCCGATTTACCCACAAGACCCGCCCGAACCCATGCAAAAGTAATATTTTTTATCAAGTTTTTCGGGTTCAGTTCGGGTCTCAGTTTAATGTTCACCCCTAAAGAAAAATATTATTTAGTTTATATAACATAAAAATAAATAAAATTACACCACCAAATTATAAAAAAATAAATTATAAAAAATAAATTAGTCAAGAACAACTAGTTAATTGATAAATGATTTTCCACCTTTTAGCAAAAATCTACTCATAATCTAAGAAAAATCAACTGGTAATGTTAAATATAAAGAAGAAAGTGTAATATATTGTTGTTTTATTTCTTCTTCTTTTTTAGTTTCAAGATGAACCTCAATTATCATAAAATCATAAATAAAATTTGTCTAAAATTTTCTATTTTTTCATATATAAAATCATAAATAAAAAATCTATTTTTATTATTTGAATGTTGGGCATCATGAGTTTCTTTGTGATATGTCACTATTTTTAATCTTTTTTTTTTTTACTACACAGTTGTCTTTAAAAATAATTTTGGGTTTCATATGAAATGAACTATTGTATATTAATTTTTTTTTATAGTAAATGTGTGTTCGATTGTTTGTTGTTTACACATTTGAGTTTGAAAATTGGAATCATAGGCAATATTCAAATAATTTATGAGGGCATTCTTTTTTTTTATTCGACACGACATAAAATAAAACCTAGTACTTAAAGACGAAATAGTTCGATAAATTATTTTGTAAACATGTGTGTTCATAGGATATACGGTATTCATCAATCTTAAAATTCTGTATTAAAAGAAAAAATCACCATACTAAACTTTTAATCTCTAAATATTTGAGGAAAAAAATTGAACCTTGAAAATAAGGAGAGAAAGAGAATGCATATTAATGAAGAGAGAGTGTTTAGAGAAAAAAAAAATCGAATGTTGAAAGTAATAAGGTTAACATAGTTGAGAAAATAGAAAATATAAAAAATAATAAAAGTATTTTAAAAAAATATAATATTAATGTGTCATGATTCATGAACCTACTTTGAAAAGCCACCGAAGTTTTATATATATATTTTTTTCCACGATATGGACTTGGCAGCCCATTCTACAGAAGTAGCGAAATTTTTGGCACAAGAATACACATATTAAACAGAAAGCCCAAAAAGACAAAAAAAAAAAAGGAAAAAGAAAAAATAACTTATAAAACACATTCGATGTGGTTCTGTCTCTGTTCGTTGTTTGAGCTTGTTGTGTTGGTCAAGTGTGTGCTATGGAGAAGGAAAAGGGCAAGAAGGTGAAGGTGTTGAGCACGAGCTCGCTCCAAATAAACGAAAATGACGCCTCTCACTTGGTCGGTTCCATCGTCGAAAAGGGTATCTCTCATTCACTCAACAGTAACCTCTCTTTCCCCAAACCCACCGTTCTTCCTTTTCCCGTTGCACGCCATCGTTCACATGGTCCTGTGAGTGCCCCTAACCTACCCTTTTTCCTTTTCCCTCTAAAGCTTTAATCTTTTTGTCTTGTGTTCTACCATGCTTCAATTTAATGCAAATGAAAGACATGGGGTGTAATGGGCAGTTTATGAAAAGAGAAAAAAAAATAGTCTTTTGATGTTTTTTTAGGGTTTTAGTGAGTTTAACCTTGCGTTCTATCGTTACTAGAAGGCGAAGTTATGACATGGAGAATGTTGAATATCAATGGTCTAGAAGTTGACTGTTTCAAAACCCTTTAGATTTCTAGGGGTGCCATAGAATTTTGAATAAGATAGAGTTGTTTTTCTTTTGTCTCCCATTAAATATGGGGCTAAATGAGTTATTATAAATTGATTTTGCATGAAAATGTTCCATGTAGAAGTAACCAGTAACCACTGAATTGTTCCCCGAGTTTGTGGAGCCTTAAAGGTCTTAGTTGGCTATGAAAATCTCTTTTCCTACATTGACTTCTTGTAGTTTATTGTGAATGTGGCTCGTGTAATGGGTAGTCAGCTTTGTGGACTGATAGTTATGTTCTGGTGATTTTACAGCATTGGCGTCCGTTGAATAGTAAAGGGGATGATGACAATGAGGGTGATGATAGTGATAATAATGTTGAGGATGAAGAAGATAAAAATTTCCAGGAGTTTGCAAGAGTTGCAACCTTTGCTAAGCCGGTTCAAAGGAGGAGGAAAAAGGGTTTGGATTTTAGAAAATGGAAGGAGATCACCCAGGATGGTAATTCTTCCTTGGCGAAGGAATCCAAGGAGGATGTAACAAGCTTTAGCCAAACTACAGGGAAAAAGAAAAATGTAAAAGGCAGCAAGAGTGCAGACAAGAAAACCTCATCTTCTTCTGATGGTAATGTCAGTTCTTCTATGGAAGTTGATGTTAAACTGCAGTTAGATAGCTCAGATGGCGGGTTTACAAATTCAGCTACAGCTATGGAAATAGATACATCAAATGAGGTAGATCATCGGGAAAAAGTTAAATACACCAGAAGTTATGATGACAAGGAAGAAAATGAATCTGTGCCTGAATGGGACCAAATTTGCTCTGATTTGCAAAGGCCAGGGCAAGCTTACTTGACTTCAAGCACATTGTCTTGTTCTAGTTCCAATAACATTAGAAGTGAACAAAAGTCCGTGTCTGTTGAGAGTGAAATTGATGCTGAGAATCGAGCTCGGATTCGGCAAATGTCATCTGAGGAGATTGCTGAAGCCCAGGCTGAGATAATGGAGAAGATGCACCCTGCATTACTAAAAGTACTACAGAAGAGGGGGCAGGAGAAATTGAAGAAACATTTTAGTTTAAAATCAGAAGTGGGTACTGTCTCAGAATCTGTGAATGGACACATTCAGGACCCTCAAGATGAAAAGCATCTGCATACAGAGAATGGCATCTCTCATGCAGTGATGACTCCACCATCCAAAGAAAAGCTAGATGATGAGAAATTTAGCAGAAAGACTTCAACCAGCACTAGTAGTAGCTCATGGAATGCTTGGAGCAATAGAGTTGAGGCTATTAGAGAGTTACGATTTTCCTTGGCTGGGGATGTTGTAGATTCTGAACGGGTATCAGTCTATGGTATGCCTTTTTCTTCTTAAGTTCTTTTACTATCATTTGAGTTCTGATATCAAGATGATGTTTTGTATGATCCTTGCATGTGTATGTATATTAGAGTATCTCCTTGTTCCATTTTGGATTCCGTAGTTAACTTAAAGACATGCCAGCTAAGCAATTCTGTTATCGGTCAGTTGTAACTGACAGATTAGTTTCAGACTTTAGGTTATCTATCTCTCTCTCTCTCTCTCTATATATATATATATATATATCAAAGGTATGAAACTATGAATAAACATTCTGATAGTAATCTCTCTCTCTGAATGTCTCAACCCTCGCTCTCTCTTCTTGACAATTCCTAACAAAATATGGGCTCTTCTTTATTTAGTCCTTTGCACATGTGGTTGCTTTGCTAGTGATAGTTTGTGTTAATATTTGAATACTTTTCTTCATGAAACATCAACCATTGTTTTATAGATTGTGATTTGTATTTAATATCATATATTCGTTTTCTTCCAAACCATCCTTCTTTGGCTGACTACACTTCTAAATGCACATGGACCAAAATTAATGTGTTTGGTTCAACTTATTTGGATATGTAATCACGTATTTTGCCTGCTTCTTGACAGAGATTTTGAAAATTAGCCATTATTTATCCAAATTTTATCTTAATCAGACATGGGATTTCTGTGTGAATCATGTAGGTAATATATTGCTGGTAAATACAAACACAGGATAGGTTAAGATCAATGATGTTGCTAAAACTTTGAGTAGACTATTTCCCCTTGGGTCAGAAATCAGAATATATTTCTTGTTCTTTTCTAGACTGAGATTTCCTTTACTTTCAAATGTTTCCAAGTTCATAGACTTGATTGATGGTTACTATTCTATTTTCAGCATATTAGATGTAAGCATTTGCATAAAACAGTATGGAGGTGCAAATATAAATTTTAATATTCATGGATATCCATCAATCTTAGCAGTTAGCATTTGTTGTATATTACTATATTCAATCAATCATTGATATCCTGTTTATTTTGGGAACAAGATGGATGTTTAAATATAATTTTGAATTTTTTACATTACAGATAATGTCACTGAACGTGACTATCTGCGGACTGAGGGAGATCCTGGTGCTGCCGGTTATACAATTAAAGAAGCAGTGGCACTCACTAGAAGTGTGGTATGTTATGTGTTGTAACTGATGTATATTTCAGTTGGATGCAGCAATATATTAGATGCCTGTTCCTGGAACAGTTTGGATAGCTTTGAAATTATGAATATAAAATATATATTTTTATAATATTTCCCCTTTATTAACAAAGCATCTGCCAATTTTTATTTATTTTTAGATTCCTGGACAAAGGGCACTTGCATTGCATCTCCTTTCATCTGTGCTTGATAAGGCATTACACTATATTTGCAAAGACAGAACAGGGCATGTGGCAAAAGTTGAGAACAAATTTGACAAATCAGTTGACTGGGAGGCTGTTTGGGCTTTTGCACTTGGTCCAGAACCTGAGCTTGTGTTGTCACTTAGGTAAGTTTTATTTTCGTCCAAGCTGTTGGTATTACCAATTACATGCAATGACTGAATAAAATGCTTGCTTTTCTTTTCCTCTTTTCAGAAAATGAATATTGTTTATATTGCAGTTAATCATTAAGCAAATAAGATGATTGGTTTCAAGTAAAGTTCCAGCTTGGTTATGTCTATAATTGTAATTGTAATTGTAATATCACATCCATCTGGCATGTAACATGGAATCAATGAAGCTAGAGAGGGCACATATCGGTTGCACATGACTGAGTATTAACATGTCTTGTTACTGTAGAAACCAGCAATGTTGTTAAAATATACGAATGAATTCTTCATTACTTTCAAATTGTATTGTCATATAATTATCTTTTTCCCATAATATGCACATCTTTTGACGGCAGTTCTTATCTGAATTTTTGTAGGATGTGTCTTGATGATAACCACAATTCAGTAGTTCTGGCCTGTGGAAAAGTTGTTCAATGTGTGTTGAGTTGTGATGCAAATGAGAACTACTGTGATATCTCAGATGTAACTGGATTTCTATTCTCAGAGTTATCTTTAATGCTGTTTAAAATTACATTCATCTGTTGTTTTATTTATTTATTATTATTTTTTTCAATTCCAGAAGATAGCAACTTGTGACATGGAAATTTGCACAGCTCCAATTTTTAGGAGCAGACCAGATATTAATTTTGGATTTCTTCAAGGGGGTTTCTGGAAATACAGTGCCAAGCCTTCTAATATTCTTCCTTTCAGTGAGGATTCAATGCATAATGAGACTGAAGGAAAACATACTATTCAAGATGATGTAGTGGTTGCTGGGCAAGATTTTACTGTAGGTCTAGTTCGAATGGGAATCCTTCCTAGACTTCGTTATCTTTTGGAGGTAAAACATCATTAATCATGTTGAAACATTTGATGTCATGAGATTCTGTGTACAAAGATTAAGAATATTTTTCTGTTCTACAATTTTTTAACTTCCATGTCAAATTCATTATTCTCTAATGGTTGCAGACAGATCCTACCACAGCTTTAGAAGAATGTATTATTTCTATATTGATTGCCATAGCGAGGCATTCACCTACATGTGCTAATGCTGTACTGAAATGCGAAAGACTTATTAAGACAATTGTGAATAGGTTTACTGCTGACAATTTTGAAATTCGATCTTCTATGATCAAATCTGTAAGACTCTTGAAGGTGAGTGGTGATTTTCAATTTTATTTTATAGGTGCTACATATTTTTCTTGTTATGTTTAGTTATTTCTTCATCAGTAGCTAGAGGATGATTAGTAATGTTTCATTTGATTTTGGAAAAGGTGCTAGCTCGGTTGGACAGGAAAACGTGTTTGGAGTTTATAAAGAGTGGTTATTTTCAGGCTATGACTTGGAATTTATATCAAAATCCTTCTTCCATGGATCACTGGCTAAAGCTAGGGAAGGAAAAATGTAAACTTGTGTCTGCTTTGATTGTTGAACAAATGCGTTTCTGGAGGGTTTGCATTCAATATGGATATTGTGTATCTTACTTCTCGGAAATGTTCCCTGCCTTGTGCTTCTGGTTGAATCCACCTTCATTTGAAAAACTTGTTGAAAACAATGTTTTGTATGAATCTACTTCCATCTCTAGGCAGGCATACCTTGTTCTGGAGTCATTGGCCGGGAGACTTCCAAATCTATTTTCAAAGCAGTGTGAGCCCACTGGTGACTCAGAGGTATGGTCTTGGAGTTATGTTGGTCCAATGGTTGACTTAGCCATAAAGTGGGTAGCAACTAGAAGCGATCCAGAAGTATCTAAGTTCTTTGAGGCACTGAAAGAAAGGAGACATGACTTTACTTTCCAAGACCTTTCTGCAACTCATTTGTTATGGGTGTATGCTGCTGTGACTCACATGCTTTTCAGGGTGCTTGAAAGGGTGACATGGGGGGATACTATCAGCCCCCTGGAAAATAAAGGGCATGTGCCATGGCTTCCAGAATTTGTACCTAAGATTGGACTTGAGTTGGTCAAATATTGGCTTATGGGCTTTTCAGCATCCTTTGGGACAAAATTTGGAAGAGATTCTGAAGGTGAATCTTTTATGAAGGAACTGGTTTATTTGAGGCAGAAGGATGATATTGAAATGTCTTTAGCTTCCACATGTTGTCTAAATGGAATGGTCAAGATTATTAATACAATTGATAATCTGATACAGTCTGCCAAGATTGGCACATGTAGTCTCCCACGCAAAGATCTAAGTCTCTCAGAAGAAGGAAAAGTGCTCGAGGATGGCATCGTTAATAGGTGTTTGGTTGAATTAAGGTATATACTTGATGTTTTCATGTTATCAGTTTCTTCAGAGTGGCACCGCATACAGTCCACTGAGTCATTTGGTAGAGGCGGACCGGTCCCAGGAGCAGGAATTGGATGGGGTGCCCCAGGTGGAGGATTTTGGTCGGAAACAGTTTTATTGGCACAAACAGATGCAAGATTTCTCCTTTATTTGATGGAAATTTTTGAAAATGCATCTAAAGATGTTCCTTTGACCGAAGAAACAACCTTCACCACGCAACAGGTTAATGCTGGCTTGGGAGTGTGTTTAACTGCAGGGCCTAGAGATAAGGTTGTTGTAGAAAAGACATTGGATCTCTTGTTCCGTGTCTCTGTTTTGAAGCACCTTGATCTCTGCATACAGAATTTTCTCTTGAATAGGAGGGGTAAAACCTTTAGCTGGCAACATGATGAAGAGGATTATATGCACTTCAGCAGG